AGAGTGGATGGTTTTAAACAACTTCACTACAATTTAGCTCTTCGAAGTTAATGGGTCTCAGCCCTCTTTCTGGATAGGAATACTGGATTGTCTTGAGTAAGTAAAACCTGTATTACATTGTTTTTAAAACTGTCTTGAGGAGCTTTTTTTTTTTTTTTTTTCCCTCAGAAGTTTTGTGAAGTTCTAGAGATGCTATAGACTGCAGAACTCAAATGATGAATTTATTTTAAGATATAGATGAACATCTCAAACACTGCATGTCATATGATTCTTAGAACCAGATGGCACTTTTGTACATATATTTATTTTCTAAAAATTATTGGTTTGTATCTTTCTTTACCAGGCCTTTCATTCCTATTCCCCTTTTGACTTGTCTAAGCATAAGACTCATAACAAAAAATAAATAAAATGATGTGAAAACGCTGTGTACCTTTTTTTTTTTTTTTTTTTTTTTTTTTTGAGCCGGAGTCTCGCTTTGTCGTCCAGCCTGGAGTGCAGTGCTGCGATCTGATCTCGGCTCACTGCAAGCTCCGCCTCCCGGGTTCACGCCATTCTCCTGCTTTAGCCTCGTGAGTAGCTGGGTCTACAGGCGCCTGCCACCGCGCCCGGCTGATTTTTTGTATTTTTAGTAGAGACAGAGTTTCACCGTGTTAGCCAGGATGGTCTCGATTTCCTGATCTCGTGATCCACCCGCCCGCCTCGGCAACGCTGTGTACTTCTAACCACTATTTATAAATAGATAAACGTTTTTGACATTTGTTTTTACAGAATGAACATAACATCCTTGAAAGATTTTTTCACAGTTTTACCAGTAATGCTACACATGATTGAATTTCCCTTTCGAATTTAAACTTACCAAAATGCTGAAACTTTAAGATGTCAAACAACAGAACACTTTTTCAAAAGACCTGATTTTGCCTTTGGAAATCATATTTTTAAAATCTGGTCAATTCTTACAGAATCAGTGCTACTTGAAAAATGAGTAATAAGTTTTATTTCATTTTTATTTGTTTATTTATGAGACAGAGTCTGGCTCTGTCGCCCAGGCTGGAGTGCAGTGGCACGATGTCGGCTCACTGCAAGCTCCGCATCCTGGGTTCACACCATTCTCCTGCCTCAGCCTCCTGAGTAGCTGGGACTACAGGTGCCCGCCACAACGCCTGGCTAATTTTTTTTTTTTTTTTTTTTTTTTTTTTTTTTTTTAGTAGAGACGGAGTTTCACCATGTTCGCCAGGATGGTCTCGATCTCCTGACCTCGTGATCTGCCCGCCTCGGCCTCCCAAAGTGCTGGGATTACAGGCATGAGCCACCGCGCCTGGCCTCATTTTACTTTATTTTTTAAAGCCAAAAGAGCACAGGGTTAAGGGACTTTCTTAAAGGTATAGTAGAGTAGCTTTAGGAACCAGACTTCTAGGCTCTCAGTTCTGGGGTAACCCTGTGGATCAGCAGACCAAGTAGATTGAGCTAGATTAGTGGCTTGCAAACTTTTCAACCATGACCTACATTATATCACGACAAAGTGGACCTATGTGTATGTGTACCCTACATTTATATAAAACATGTTTCAGACATAATTCTTATCCTTAACAAAATATGATGTACCCATAATTCCTTTTCTGCCCTTTTTCTAAAATGCTTTTCTTGACCCATGACATTTACTTTATGACCCGTTAATGGTCTACAGCTTACAGTTTGAAAAACTCTAATCTAGACCGAAATCAGGCTCCTAGCACTAATGGCTGGCCTGGAAAAGATATTAGCATTTACTTACAGGATCATGAAATGAAATATAAAAAGTAAATGACTGGGCGCGGTGGCTCACGCCTGTAAACCCAGCACTTTGGGAGGCTGAGGCGGGCGGATCACAAGCTCAGGAGTTCAAGACCAGGCTGACCAACATGTTGAAACCCCGTCTCTACTAAAAATACAAAAATTAGCCAGGTGTGGCACGCACCTGTAATCCCAGCTACTCAGGAAGCTGAGGCAAGAGAATGGCTTGAACCCGGGAGGCAGAGATTGCAATGAGCCGAGATTGTGCCACTGTACTCCAGCCTGGGCAACACAGCAAGACTCTATCTCAAAATAAATAAATAACTGACTATAGTTTATGGGATTATATTATTGACTTTGTGGGGCATAAGTTACATTTTTATTAGAAATTGCCTTTTGTTTTATTCATAAACTGATTCTGTTAGCATAATTTCCTATCTTTTAGACTCTGAGTCTCACGTTGCATTCTGGCTGGATTTCTGAATTGTTAAACTTTCCAACAAATTTGGAAAATGTGTGTCTTAGTTAATATTTGATGCATGAGAATAAGGATATATATCATCTTTGCGAAAGGAGGCTATTAGCAATTATTTTTGCTTAGAAATATTTACATAAAAGAATAATTTGGAGGCCGGGCGTGGTGGCTCACACCTGTAATCCCAGCACTTTGGGAGGCCGAGGCGGGCAGATCACCTGAGGTCAGGAGTTCAAGACCAGCCTGGCCAACATGATGAAACCCCATCTCCATAAAAATACAAAAATTAGGCAGGCATGATGGCACATGCCTGTAATCTCAGCTACTCGGGAGGCTGAGGTGGAAGAATCGCTTGAACCCGGAAGGTGGAGGTTGCAGTGAGCTGAGATCGTGCCATTGCACTCCAGCCTGGGTGACAGAGCGAGACTCCATCTCAACAACAACAAAAAAGAATAATTTCATTTAGGTTGTGACAGCTTCTTGAAGTTGGTAGCTGAACAAGTTATAATCGCTTTGGAAGTGGAAATAACAAGGCATTTATCTACCTTAAGATTCAGTAAACCAAATCTGCAGGGTGAAATTGGAAATTACTCATGTTATTTTCCTACTACTTTTGAAAAATGTATAATGAAATGTAATTTGGAATATTTATTTCACTTTGCTCTGTTTTATTTGCCTGTATGAATATATTAGGCAAATATATTTATTCATTTATATTCTAACAAAATAATTAACTTTGCATTTATGTAAACTTTAAAATAAATCACCTAATGTTACAAATAAACATGAATACAAACTGTAGCAAGTGCTGTCAAATCAGATTGTGAGTGACACAGAAACATCTGGACATACAGGTTAAGGGATCAAGTAGGCCTCACTAGGAAACCATGTTCAAATGCTAAAAAAGGCAGTTTACAGGTATTCTCACTGATACATGCCCAGCTACACCCAGGTCAGACTGGGTAAATGACTTCCAATTTCACAAAGCTAGCAAGTAGTGAACCTGTTTGAGTCTTCAGAATCCTTGGGTTCTGTTCATAGCATATTAATGTGACTCCTCAAAACTCACCTGACATTGACACACGAATGCAGTGTCATGTGAGTACATGCTGCTACACACTGCTTATAAAACATATAAAATGAGGTTAGGTTAGCATCATTTTAAGTCATTAAAATGGCTTTTTTTTTTTTTTTTTTTTTTAAAGACAGAGTTTTACTCTTGTTGCCCAGGCTGGAGTACAGTGGCGTGATCTTGGCTCACTGCAACCTCCGCCTCCCAGGTTCAAGTGATTCTTCTGCCTCAGCCTCCCAAGTGGCTGAGATTACAAGCGCCCACCACCACGCCTGGCTAATTTTGCATTTTTAGTAGAAACAAGGTTTCACCATTTGGTCAGGCTGGTCTTGAACTTCTGACCTCAAGGGATCCACCTGCCTCAGCCTCCCAAAGTGCTGGGATTAAAGGCATGAGCCACCACAGCCAGCCTAAAATTGAATTTTTTATAGATTATTATTACTCTCAGAGGACAACAGAGCATATATTTGCTATTATATGGAACATTAAATTTCAGTGTTCATAATTTCCCATCTTTTTTATAGACTGACTCATAGATTTTCACATACTAAACAACTTTAAAAGGTCCCTTATGTATAACTTACTTAGCTGGACTGTGATAATAATTTCATAATGTATGCATATGTGAAAGCATCACATTGTACACTTGGAGTATATACAATTTTTGTCAATTACACCTCAAAGCTGAAAAGATTTTGGTGAGTTATCTATGCGGTCTATGTGTTACAGTGATTGTAGCAAATTTGAAAATGATCAGTGCTTAAATAGCTATTTGTATGTAGGATTTAATTTTCACGGAGAAGGGAACGTTTTTGGCAGTGTGGGACACCAGGCACGGAAATGTAGGATCTGGGTATTAGGAGCAGGTGGTGGTAGGGAGGAAGAGAACCACAGCAGTGGTGGTGATGTCAGCAGCTTACCAGAGCTAGGGATAGAAGCCCCCGACTTAGAAGTGTGACATCTAAGTTGACCTCTGCTGCTTACTTAAAGGTGTATTTAGGATTAGTGCCATGCTGTGAAATGGCGTATGAAAGCAGGAACTCTCTATACAAAAATATTTTTTATTCAGTCTTTGTGCTCAGTACTACAGATATCTTAATAAATAAGCAATTGAATAAAATCACCATCATTTGGAGGGTTGAGAAATCATTTCACTTTGGAATTTACCAGCATAGGTACTTGGCTGGGTTTCTTATTTATTTCTTTGTTTCCTACTCTCACTTGAGGTTTTTTTTCAGTTTTCTTCTTCCCAGTCTGATGAGAGTATATCTTTGGCCATTCGAGGTTCTATTATAAATGATTGCATACATTGAAAAGGACATCTTACATTATCTTTAATAATATATTCTCTAAAGGAATATAATGATATATAATTTTATAAGTTTTTAATAGGCATATTCTTTAACAAAATAAGGAATAAGAGCCATAAATTTTGATTCCTTGGGTTTGTTAGAAGGGAAACTCCAGGGGGAAATGGGTTTATGGATGTTATATGCGTTTTAACTAATATACATTGTAAGCATAATTTGGAACATTGTCTTTCAGAACCTAAGGAGGGGAAGAGGAAGGGAACTAACATTTGTGGAGTGCCTGCCATGTGCCAGGCACTGTGCTAGACACTTTGACATACATTATAGGGTTTATTGTGAGTACTAAATGAGATACTGTATCCCCATTTTACAGATGAGGAAACTGAACTTGCCCCAAGTCACATGGCTGGTAAGTGGCAGAGCTGGACTAGAACCCAGACTCCAAACCCCATGCTTTTTCTGCTGTACTGTATTTAAAGCTTGCAAAGAGAGGTATGAAGTTAATGACCAAAACTGAGAGTTCTAGGAATTTTCTTTTCCCATGAAATATTTGATACTGAACCTAAAAAAAAATTTTAAAAATGCTTTCATGTCAGGAGCTAGATGGAAACACATCATAATGAGAACGCCTTTGTTTTTAAAATGCTATGTTAGACTTATCTAAAGTGCATCTAAGTAAGATTTAAGAAATAATGCCTTTTATCAAGAAAGGCCACTTTGAAGAGACACATTGCATCTTGTAGGGCTTTCCATGCTAAAGGTTTAGCTATAATAATGCAAGTTTATAAGAAAGACTGCTTATTTTAAGCATTCCAAATGACAGCAGCCTTGTGCAAAACCCCAGGAAGTTCAAATTTTACTTCATACAGCACACATAAACTCATGAAACACCCATTATATGCCAAGTACTGTGCTAGATTCTAGGGGATTCTGGGGTTAAAAAGATACTATCCCTGATTTGTCTTAAAGTTTTTGCTTTCCTGAGAATAAAGTTAGTGTACAAATATCTTATAGTCTTTCTTCAATCATGATTGTTAGTTCCCCACTGATAACCCATATATTTTCAGAATATGAAAATTCTAGAATAAAAATAATTTGGACACTTTCAGTAGTTAAATGGGACAGGAAGTGGCCTTTATAAGAGTACAGGAATAGCAGTGTGTCATCAGAGAACGCAGGATGGTCTTTGAACTGTGATCCTTGGTATCTTATCTGCTTTAAATTTCCACTGAGTTCATATTATTGGAAATTTGAAGCTAACTAAGATAAATATTTTTTATAACTTGTTTTAAAATTAAAACTTGTGACATTTAGATTTTTTCAAAACAAGAGATTATCTTTGTATCTTTATTTTTTTAAGAGACAGGGTCTTGCTATGTTGCCCAGGCTGGACTTGAACTCCTGGGCTCAAGTGATCCTCATGCCTCAGCCTCTGAAGGAGCTGGGATTACAGGCATGAGCCACTGTGCACAGCTGTCTTTGCCCATATCTGTTAAAATGTACTTTACTAATAAGATCATATTTGAGTATATGGAATTTGTCCATTGACCATTAGAAGTATACCACTATATAGATCTGTTGGGATATTATAGAAATTTATGCAAATTCCTACTAATTTATACGAATTCCTGTTTCTGGCTTGAACTAATGCACTGTCATTTTTATTTTATTGAGGGAAGTAAAAGGAATATATGATACCTCTGAAAAATTATAATAAAACCCAGTCACCTAACATCTCAGAACTAATATATCTGAATATATCATCCCCTTCCAAGTTATTTTAAAGTGGTATTTTTTTCTGAGCTATTGCTCAAAATGTTTTTAAGAATTCTTAGTTTGGAATTGCCATTATCTTTCATGGTGCCAAATTTGGTCCCTTGAGGGTGGTTGTTGCTTCTGGAAACAGGCAAGAGTTGTTGAGAATCATTTGTGATAAATACAAGGCCAGTGAATGAACTCCTTTTTTCTTTTCTTTTTTCCTTTTTTTTCTTTTTTTCCTGAGACAGGGTCTTACTCTGTCACCCAGGCTGGAGTGAAGTAGCATAGTCATGGCTTACTGCAGCCTCAACCTCCTGGGCTCACATGATCTTCCCACCTGAGGCCCTGGAACCACAGACGCATGTCACCACACCTGGTTAATTTTTGTATTTCTTGTAGAGATCGGGTTTCTCCATGTTGCCCAGGCTGGTCTTGAACTCCTGGACTCAAGTGAATCTCCCACCTTGGCCTTCCAAAATGCTGGGATTATAGGTGTAAGCCACCATGTCTGCCTTTGAACTGCATTTTTCACCTGTGACTATTCCCACCCACCCTTTTTTTGAAAAAAAAAAAAAAAAAAGTTTTTTGTGGCCGAGCGCAGTGGCTCACGCCTCTGATCCCGGCACTTTGGGAGGCCAAGGTGGGTAGGTCACGAGGTCAGGAGTTCGAGACCACCCTGGCCAAAATGGTGAAATCTCATCTCTACTAAAAATACAAAAATTAGCTGGGTGCGGTGGCAGGCATCTCTAATCCCAGCTACTCAGAAGGCTGAGGCAGGAGATTTTGCTTGAACCTGTGAGGCGGAGGTTGCAGTGAGCCGAGATTGTGCCACTGCACTCTACCCTGGGCAGCAGAGCAAGATTCCGTCTCAAAAAAAAAAAAGTTTTTTTTTTTTTTAAACTAGCTTTTGTATATCATGGAACCATCCTGCTCTAACTTCATATTACAAGAAAACAGCAAATGTCTACAGAACTAGAGTGTAATGAGCCCCTCTCTACCTATTACTTTTACTGCACATCTGTGTGAGCAGTGTTTGGAAAGAACGATCCTAGACCGAGGTCCCTATCCATGCTGCCTGCACGTGTCAACCTGGTGTCATGTAAACTTCTCATTCATCACTGGCTATTGTTCCAATTTTAGAAGGCCTAGGTGGCCACCAGCTGTTCCATTGTTTCAGCCTTTATTACCCCATTACCTTCTTCCCTGGGTGTGGGTGAAGAGAGAAAAGAGGAGAACTATGTTATTCTCTGCTCCACTCCATCTCCTCTGACAATACGATGAAGATATTTTAAACATTCTGTTAAGTTAGTTTATAACTGGCTTAACGTGACTTTCTTAACTATCTCAGAGCTATACAGTTTTGTATGACTTATTGAGTTGTCTGTGTATGCATTATTTTGAATAGTCACAAAAACAAATTTAGGACTTTTCTCAAGTTTATTCATATGCTGGTGATCATTAGTCACAATTAGGCCGGGCGTGGTGGCTCACACCTGTAATTCCAGCACTTTGGAAGGCCGAGGCAGGCGGATCACAAGGTCAGGAGATGGAGACCATCCTGGCCAACCTGGTGAAACCCCGTCTCTACTAAAAATACAAAAATTAGCTGGGCATGATGGCGTGTGCCTGTAATCCCACCTACTCGGGAGGCTGAGGCAAGATAATCACTTGAACCAGGGAGTAGGAGGTTGCAGTGAGCCAAGATCGCACCACTGCGCTCCAGCCTGGAGCCAGCAAAACTCCAGCCTGGAGTCAGCAAAACTCCGTCTCAAAAAAAAGAATTATTATTACCTATCACCAATGTTTTAAAATTACATGTAGAAGGAAAAGGCAGTACAACCTTATAAATGATATTTTTATTAATTCTATGAAAATCTTTAAGTGAGCTTCCTTGAAAGCCACGTTTTTAACTGTTGTATTCTTTCACCTAATTCTCAAGCCTTAGAAGGCAAAAATCTGGCATATACCCAAATAGAAGCACATAAATCAGTTAATCTTTGTTTAACTGTTTTAAACAAAGTTTCAGTGATAATATCCTATTTAGCTGACAAAGTATTTGTCTCCCATGGGTAACATTTCACTTCTTTTTTTTTTTTTGAGACGGAGTCTTGCTCTGTCGCCCAGGCTGGGGTGCAGTGGCCGGATCTCAGCTCACTGCAAGCTCCGCCTCCCGGGTTTACGGCCATTCTCCTGCCTCAGCCTCCCGAGTAGCTGGGACTACAGGCGCCCGCCACCTCGCCCGGCTAGTTTTTTGTATTTTTTAGTAGAGATGGGGTTTCACCGGGTTAGCCAGGATGGTCTCGATCTCCTGACCTCGTGATCCACCCATCTCGGCCTCCCAAAGTGCTTATTCAATGGGTATAAAACATTTCTATGAAATACAGAAATGCTGTATTTTCCTCTTTTGATTGTAATTTAGTTCAGACAATTGTTAATAGAATTTGATAACTTGTTTAAGAAATCTTTTTTCTTGCACTTAGCTTTGAGAGAGCATATATTTTGTAATGTCTCATCGGAGTGACAAACTAACTCTGGACCATACGTTTCAATGTTGAAGCGTTGGTGGTAGAAACGTTTTATCACTCGAATCCATCTGTCTTTTCTAGGAAGCTATGTTTCTTGAAGTAGACAAATTCTGAATATAAATTAGGAAACTTTGAGAACTTACTTTTAGTATTTTATCTGAATACTAAGTAAATATTAAACCCTGTCTTTTAACTGTATGGTTATACTATGCTTAGACAATACTTTTAAATGAATATTTACAAATGTATTATTTTTCCTAGGAAACCTAAGAAAGACAAAAATTATCTTTCCCCAGAGAAACTAGGTTTAAGCAGAGCTTTGCTGGGTTTTTGTTGTTGTTCTTTTTTTTTTTTTTTTTTTTTACTGAAACTGCAGTGAGCTCAATTCCTTCCAGTGCTTCAATCATTTTCTAGTAATGAGAATTGCACTTAAAGACATTCAGTGACTGTTTCAGGCATGATATGTAGTATAGGAAAATCTCTAAACTGAAACATTCACAGGATGGAGATATTCTTCTTCATGGAAATGTTTGCAGTGGTGTGCTACAGTCAGCTCCTGCTGGCTTGTTAGAGCCTATTGTTAAATTTTCAGGCCGGGCGTGGTGGCTCACGCCTGTAATCCCAACACTTTGCAAGGCTGAGGCGGGTGGATCACTTTAGGTCATGAGTTCAAGACCAGCCTGGCCAACATGTCAAAACACGATCTCTACTAAAAATACAAAATTAGCCAGGCATGGTGGTGCACACCTGTAATCCCAGCTACTTGGGAGGCTGAGATACAAGAATCACTTGTACAGGGGAGGTGGAGGTTACAGTGAGCCAAGATTACACCACTGCACTCCAGCCTGGAGCCACTGAGTGAGACTCTGTCTAAAAAAAAAAAGCCGGGTGCGGTGGCTCATGCCTGTAATCCCAACACTTTGGGAGGCCGAGGTGGGAGGATCACGAGGTCAGGAGATCGATTTCATCCTGGCTAACACGGTGAAACCCCATCTCTACTAAAAATACAAAAAATTAGCCGGGCGTGGTGGTGGGCACCTGTAGTCCCAGCTAATCGGGAGGCTGAGGCAGGAGAATGGCGTGAACCCTGGAGGTGGAGCTTGCAGTGAGCTGAGATTGCGCCACTGCACTCCAGCCTGGGCAACAGAGCGAGACTCCGTCTCAAAAAAAAAAAAAAAGAAAAAAAGAAAATGTCAGTACCTTTGTGAGCTGGTTGTAAAACAACGATTATTAAAAATTAAATATATGTATGCACACACACAATTTATTTACACATTAAAAACGTTAGTACTCAAAACTCCTAATTTCTAAGTATTTTCTCTGTGCTCTGTGGGTATTGGCATCTGTTTTGTCTGTATGCTGTGTGCTTACTACGTGTATGTCTTTCCAACTCTATGATCAGCAAAGTCACCTTGGCAGCTTGAAATTGGCCATGGTGGAAGTATTTACACCATGAGAATTATCGGAACACTACACATCAGGGCTTTTTCATTGTTTTCCCCTGAGGACTGTTTATTAAATATTTATTAGCACACCACTGATTTTAAGCTAAATGAGCACCTGTGAGCTTTTGCATTTGATAAAAACCTGTCTAAAATGCATTAGGACACTTTTCTCCTTTAATATTTAGAGCGTGCTGAATATCATTGTTCTAAGTGCTGAAGAAGATCTTTAATACTTGAGATTGCTATAATGCTCAGAATAATTATCTTAAACATTACAAGATCACCTCTTATGAGATGTCAAAAGCATACTGTTTCCAGGTCAGTTTTATGTAAAATGCCAAATTATGAATTCTTTATATAAGCTCGAAATATTTTGTTTTACTGCAGCTGCCACTGGTGACATGCCAACTTACCAGATCCGAGCTCCTACCGCTGCTTTGCCACAGGGAGTGGTGATGGCTGCATCACCCGGAAGTTTGCACAGTCCCCAGCAGCTGGCAGAAGAAGCAACACGCAAACGAGAACTGAGGCTAATGAAAAACAGGTGAGATGTTTCACGGGGAATCGGTAACTTCTAGAACACTTTTTAAAAATTACAATTTTCACTGGGTGCGGTGGCTCACGCCTGTAATCCCAGCAGTTTGGGAGGCTGAGGCAGGCGGATCACAAGGTCAGGAGATAGAGACCATCCTGGCTAACACAGTGAAACCCCGTCTCTACTAAAAAATACAAAAAAATTAGCTGGGTGTGGTGGCGGGCGCCTGTAGTCCCAGCTATTCGGGAGGCTGAGGCAGGAGAATGGCGTGAACCTGGGAGGTGGAGCTTGCAATGAGCCGAGATCGCGCCACTGCACTCCAGCCTGGGCGACAGAGCGAGACTCCATCTCAAAAAATAATAATAATAATAATAAAATAAATATTAATAAATAATAATAATATATTAATAAGCAATAAAAATAAATTCCAGTTTTCAGCCAGGCGTGGTGGCTCACGCCTGTAATCCCAGCACTTTGGGAGGCTGAGGCGGGCAGATCACACGGTCAAAGGATCGAGACCATCCTGGCCAACATGGTGAAACCCCGTCTCTACTAAAAATACAAAAATTAGCTGGGTGTGGTAGTGTGTGCCTGTAATCCCAGCTACTTGGGAGGCTGAGGCAGGAGAATCACTTGAACCTCGAAGGCGGAGCTTGCAGTGAGCCAAGATCAGGCCACTGGACTGCAGCCTGGGTGACAGAGTGAGACGCAGTCTTTAAAAAAAAAGAAAAAGATTACAGTTTTCATAAGCTGTTTCTCCCAAGTTACATGTTATGTGGCATTTCATGTAAGTTTGTGCTCTGTGTGTGTTATTAGTTTGTATTCTAGTCAGAATTCCTGGCTGTTAACTATTTCATCATCAGGAATTACATCCCTATGTTGTAAGGGTAGTGTTCAAAAGATACAGTAATTTTTTAAAATAATGATCAAAGGACTTCATGAGAAACAAAGAGCTATTTTGTATTTAGTATTTGCTTTGTGAAGTAGATGATAAGTCGAATTTTTTAGCTTCTCTGAGCAAAATAAATTGAAGTGTAAGTGAAGCATTTCTTTTTGACATTTTCTACCTATAGTTTCCTTTTGTCTATTTTGTAACTTTTTTCCTCGATTACACTGAAATACATATTTAATATGATAAATTCTAGTCAAGTGCAAATACAAAATAACAAAAAGAATTAAAATCATCCATGGCTCTAATCACTTAGGATACCTCCTATTATAGTCTATGTACTTCCAGTCAGCTGTCATTTTCTCTCACTTTTTCTTGCTCCATAACTCTGTAATTTTATTTTTTAAGCAACATATTATAAAATGCTATTTTCTAAAACTTTTTAAAAATTAAAACATAAAATTTTATTTAACTTGTATATTATTTCTTGGTTTAGTTTTTATTATGGATAATGGTGCAAATTAATCTGATTTTCAAAAGGAACAGAATTGTCTTAGAGTTTCCCAGTAGTCTTGTCACCTTAGTCCTAAGTGTCAAATAATGTCCTCATTGTGTGCAGCCAGGACAGAGGCTCAGCAGTGTTTGTTATCAAGGGTCCAGGCTCCCGCTCCCGGCTGTGTCATCTTCAGCATGTATCATTCATTCTCATGATCACAGCGTGGCTGCTGAACCTCTAGCCATTGCCTCAGACAGGAAGAAGGAAGAAGGGCTAGAGCCAAATATTGGGGCTAGCTGAGGTCTGGCTCAACTGCAAACGTTTCCTGGAAGACCCTCCCAGCAACTTTCACCTACATTTCATTGGCCAGAAATAGGTCTTTAGTCCCTAGCTGTATGGGATTCTGAGAAAGGTTTATTTTCGCTTTCTAAATCTCAGTTTCAGAGCAAGACAAGAGAAAAGCAGATGATACCTGGCTGTTAGGTTGCTCATTATCTGTTTAGCAGGTTTTAAGTGCTTTGTTCTACTGTGTCTTTAATGCTTACATGAGAGTAGGTGATTATTATGCCCAGTTTGCGGATGAGGACCAGAAGTTCAGAGATGTTAAAGTTGGTCAAGATCACATGGCCCAAACTGGGCAGAACCAGCGCAACCAGGCAGTCTTTATTCTAGAGCCTGTCCTCTATCCCAGCATCGGGCACCCCGAAAATACCCCATGATAACCTGCAGATTTCACTTCCTGGGAAAGTGTGTAGGCTTTAGTCTTTCACAGATAGATCTCTTACATATTCTCTTTTTATTCTTTGGTTCGTATCTCTATTCGATATTTCATTATATCACATTTCTGCCAATCCAGCAACAGTTTTTATTTCTTTCCAGCCTTGTCAGAGTTTCTTCTTTGCCTTGCATTTCCTCTCCGTGCTGAGGATATACTCAGACACATGCAAGCCTGAAAACTGAGCTCACTATTAATAGAAGAAACAGGTGTTTTCCATGGCTGAGGAGTACTTAGGAATGTACCATCTACTGATATGATCGGGGAAAGCTTTGTGCCTGGAACATTTTGACTCTAGTAATATGTGTGTCTGTGTGTGCACACACACACATGCACACTCAAATGTAAAATATGAAGTATGAATATTTATAATAGCTTGGTAAATAAAATGTTAAAGATTAAACACCCACAACACTACTATTAGGTCTTTAAATTTTTCATTTAATGGTAAGCCTGTTTTGTAAAATGACTATCTTCCTTCTAGGTCTAGAATTTAATATAATTTACTCATGAAAACCTTGGTATTCATAAATGAATTTCAGTTCCTTTGTGGAAAAGAGTTGAATTATGTTCCCAAAGTGGCAAATGTGTGTTTGGATTTATTCTTAACTTTTCCAATTGCATCATTTAGATTAAATTAGTCACTATAACATTCAGTTCAGTTTTACATTTTAAATTTTTTTTGTTAACCAGCTGAGAAGTCTGAGAACTTTGTTCGTTCACAGGGTGAGTCCACTGTTCCTGGCTAGGAAGCAGGGGTCAATCTTTTCCTGCAGTTCATTTGGATTGAAGGTTCTTTGCTGACTCTTGCTTCCACAGTGAAAACACAGATATCCAGTCAGTGAGAGTCAGCTATCTTAAAAAAAAAAAAAAACCATGTATACATCACATGTGGTTCAGGATGCTAATTGGCATTATAGAAACTGGCGTTTAGACATTCAACACTGCTTTTGTTAACCTATTTGAATGATAATATATGTTTCAGTGTAGGCTTTTTTGACATGAACGGTGATCTACCTCAAAGGCAGTTATTCTGGAATTGAATCCTCCAAAATGAGGCCAATCAAAGGGTATCTTCTACAGAGGAGTTAAGGGAAGTGGTTGCCGTCCCTCCCACCCTGAAAAAAAGAAAAAGAGAAAATGTTGGCTCTACTTATTGTTTTGGTGGGGTTATGTATGAAAATGACTAACTCAACTCATCTGTTGGTGTTGTTGCTTTGGCTACTGGTCTGTTCCTTCATTTGGGGCTTATTAGTGCTTTAAAATTCAACATATTGGATATTAAATGCATGTGATGAGGAAACAGTCTTGAAATATGCCCGGAGTTACTCAGTAGCTTCTTTTTTATAATTTTAATTGTGGTGGTCTCACATTTGTGGGTTTAAATTGTCTGAGTTATTGAGTGTTGTATTTTGTAGCCCCTGTCTTTAATTTTCAGAAGCACTGTCCATTTCATTTTGGTTTATAAAAATGCACATCTTTTGTTTTTTGTTACGATTTATCCATGTTGTGTTTTCTAGCCAATAAACTGTGTCTTGCAGTCACAGTTGATCTTGTTTTACTGAGATTTAGTTTTGAAGACTAAAAATCTCCAGTGTTGATATTTAAGGTTTTTGAAGATTAATTCTTATAATCATTTTTGATCGCATAAAATTGACTTATTATGTTGGAGTATGTGCCTTTTGAGAGACAAAAAAATTAAGAGAATTGAAAGGATCTATAAATGTTTTTGTAGAAATTCCATTTGGGGATGTGGTCCTATTGTAGTTTACTGAAAACAGTTCTGGTCATTGTTATCAGTGGAATGTGTGCCCTAAGAAAACACCATTTGTGATGAATGCTGGGCAAACTGTGTTCTCAAGTCATTCCTGTTGTCTGATGGTTATCTTACAAAAAGCATGTGCTTGGTTATGTTTGTTATGTGGCTTTGTACAGTCCTTACCTAGGATCGATTGGCTGTTGAGTTCGGGGGGCAGAAGTGTACTGACCCACTGTGGATTGTGTTGGAAGGCTGTTCCTGTAGTCATTTGCCTTGTGTTGGTTCCAGGGAAGCTGCCCGGGAGTGTCGCAGGAAGAAGAAAGAATATGTCAAATGTCTTGAAAATCGTGTGGCTGTGCTTGAAAACCAAAACAAGACTCTCATTGAGGAACTCAAGGCCCTCAAAGATCTTTATTGCCATAAAGTAGAGTAACTGTCTTTGACTTGGACCTTGTTTACTGTGAACTCTAATCAAGGCAGGAGATGCAGCAGTCCTACTTATTGCCATGTGGACTTGTGGAAAGGACACGTGTGACCCTTAAGAATCCAGTTCGGATTAGTGTTTGAAATTGAATTGGGAATGTTGTTCCAGGATGTGGAATGCAGCTGTGATCACACTTACCGAGCTTACTTTGACCTGTTTGTCAATAGCATGCAAAAAATGCTTTGTTTGCCCTTTGCTTCTGCTTTTTTCAGGGAAGCTGCCAAAGAATGTCGACGTCGAAAGAAAGAATATGTAAAATGTCTGGAGAGCCGAGTTGCAGTGCTGGAAGTCCAGAACAAGAAGCTTATAGAGGAACTTGAAACCTTGAAAGACATTTGTTCTCCCAAAACAGATTAGTAGAAATATTTAACTATGAACTGAAGACAGCATGTATAGTTGCTTTTGAAGGAATACAGTATATAGCTGGCAAGAATGGTGGCTTCTTTTCTTTGTATCATTCATCTTCTTTAATCTCTTAACATTCCTAAAATGCTTCACTGTACATAGTTAAGTCATAGCTATAACTTCAAATTTTTTAAAAGAGACAAACTAAAAAATGTATGTAACAGATTCTTAAAACGCAATATTTGTAAGGCTTGTTCCAATGCCACATACTTGCAGCTCCCATTCTCTGTCATCAGTAGTGTCCTATGCAATAAAATTATTTGCAGGTCTTTAAATCATTTTAGGAAAGGATGATCAAAAATAATGCATCCAGCAGTACAATGAAAGTAAACCACAAAAAAAAATACCTCAGGAAAGAATAGAAAGAAAGTCTATCTAATGGCATGCCTATATGAGAAGAATAGCCTAGATATGAATATACGGCATTTGCAGATTTTTATATTAGTTGCTTTGTTAAAAAAAAAAAAAAAAAAAAAAAAAAGAGATTGTATTGCTGTCCTTGAATGCAATAGTCAGAGTTTTTAATAGAACCATGTTGGTTGCACTTTGTAGTGTTTGGTGCTCATTTAAATATCTGAACATTTACTACAGTTTTTAACTGTATTGTGTAACATAAAAGATCTTGCAGAAGTTCTTAGTGTCGGTTTAATATTAACTAATGAAAGTGATGACATATTTTTTCTATCTGGAGTGAGCCTGTTAGGATCACATTGCATACCTTCCGGGTACAAGTCAGTTTCTACACTGGGTGCTGATCCTTGCATGCACCCTTTCTACCATCCCATGGTGGGGATGGCCGCAGGCTGTGCACTCAGAAGAAAAGAATGGCTGTTCGCGTTTCGGCCTTTGTGATGGCCTGAGACTATCTGTAGGTGGTCTGGAGCTGTCTGGCTGGTGGCCCCCTATTTTGCCATTTAGCGAACAACCACAGAAATTTTAAAAACAAAAGCATCCCAAGATTTTTTCATTTCAAAAAGCCTCAAAGTCCACATTAGATCAGCTGAGGTTCATTACAGTCAAAGCCAAAGCCGCAGTGTGATCTACGTTTCTACGTTTCATCTTGTTTTAATAATAAAAAGCTTCAGGAAACAAGCCCAAAGCCCTCACCACAGGATGCTCTGTTCTCTCTCATTCCCTGACATTTCTTGATTGTCTGCTGCGTGCTGGACTCTGCTGTGTTTCCTACTGTGACTTCTGCTTTAAGGATGTCCCCACCCCACCCCCCAGTTTCAAGAGTAGATCTGGTCAGTGTGGTGGGAGATAGAAAATTGGGAGGTGGTTTGTGGAGCATCCAGCTGCTGCTTCTCCTGTACCACTGGAATTCTTTCCCTTATCTGTCGCTCCCAGCAAGTAGGGCATGTCATTGTTGGCTTTCTTTAAAAATATGTATTCTCCCTTCAGAGTCGGAGCTCTGAATTTTCTTTCTTTCTTTCTTTCTTTCTTTTTTTTTTTTTAAGACAGAGTCTTGCTTTGTCGCCCAGGCTGGAGTGCAGTGGCGTGATCTCAACTCACCACAACCTCCACCTCCCGGATTCAAACAATTCTCCTGCCTCAGCCTCCCAAGTAGCTGAGATTACAGGCATGCGCCACTACATCCAGCTAATTTTTCTATTTTTAGTAGAGATGAGATTTCACCACGTTGGCCAGGCTGGGCTCAAACTCCTGGCCTCAAGTGATCCACCTGCCTTGGCCTCCCAAAGTGCTGGGATTACAGATGTGAGCCACTGCACCCGGCCTGAATTTCTTTTATCTCAATTTTTGTCTTCTCTTCTACAGAGAAGATGAGGAAAGAAGACAAGGAAGAAAAAGGAAAGGAAAACTCCAGGTTTCAGATGCGGGACAGTAGGGCCTTGCACTCACTCATCTGCCCAGTCAGTTGCTGTACATCAACGGTGTGGCTGGGGTGGATGGACACACAGTGGGGGCACAAGGATCAGCAGGCAAGATGTACAAAGTTGGAGATGATGCTCGCTACATGTTAGAATTCTAGAAAGATGCAGCTGGGGGTTAAATAGGAGACTTCATGTGGTAAGTGGATTTTGAACTGGGCCTTGAAGTGATTGACAGTGCTGGGGCAGGGGGTTGGTACTTAGGGAATACAGAGCACACACACTGCTCCAAGGAGCTTGGGTCTGGAGGATGAGAGAGGCCAAGTTAGTTCTCACCCAAGAGTTAGTTTCATTTGAAAATTGGGGAAGACAGAATGAATGTGTGCGTGCATGTGTGTACTCTAGTCTGTAAAAGAGGTTATATTATTTCAGAGGAAAGGGGCTCTATCCAATTTCTTGGGATCACCAGCAACAGAAGTCCCCCTTCCCAAACCCAGTGGTTTAAGCAATAAGGAAATACACTACCTTGCAAAACAAGAAGTCCAGTGGTAAGAAATTCCAGGCTTGCTAATTTAGTGACAACAGAGTCATCACGACCAGACCCTGCCTCCTCATTCTTTTCCCTCTACCTGCTGGTTCCCCTGACCTAATATTGCTGCCACAGTCCCAGGCATCAGAAATCGGAAAGACAACACCCTTTTTGGAGGGTACTTTTTTTTTGGTTGGTTTTTTTGTTGTTTTTTTGAGACTGAGTCTCACTCTGTCACCCAGGCTGGAGTGCAATGGTGTGATGTCGGCTCACTGCAACCTCCACCTCCCAGCCCAAAGACTGGGCTGAAAGGCACTGGGTTGCTCATGAGGATTCCACCCCTAGGGTTGGGGAGCTTCCAGGCTCGGGGGAAGCATATGGCCATCAATGTCGAATAAAACTGGGCTTCTGGAAGAATGGCGTGTAGACACTGGGGACGTCTGGCGCTGGGACTGAGTGAGCGCTTACCCTGTTCAAGAAGTGAGGAACAGCTTGTGAGAGGCTGGGGCTTGAGCCACGCTCCCAGACATGCACGGGAACTCTTATTCTTGTTCATGAAATGCATCTCTGAAACCAAGCTTCTGCTACCAAAATAGCACCATTTGACAGCAGTGCTTTCAGCCTTACAGCAGATACTGCCTACGACCTCTCCCTCAACAGAACCAGCAGTAGGGGAAGCTTTGCAGGGGGGAACATTGCACATCTCACACACCCGTGCGTGCGGGATCCACAGCGCTCCCCACACCTGTGCATGCGGGATCCAGAGTTCTCACTGTGTGTGTCTGTCTTTGAATCCTAAAAGTTTCAGAATCTGGACTACTGGGTATAGAAATTACTGCTCCAGGTTTAGGGGACTGCATACCTTCTCTGTCCTATCTAACTAGGTACTTCATAACGCTAAGTCATGTGAGATGGGAACATTAAGGAAATGAACTCCTTCTAGTATTTAAACATGTGTGACCATGAGGCATGCCTGAAACTGAGAGCATGGACATCAGCAACATACTGTGCATGAATGGCGGCTGTTTCAGTGCCAGATGCCTCATTCCTTGTTCAACCACACTTCTCAGTTTTCTTCATATATGTTTATGTCCAAAACATGCTGTTTCCCATGTGCCTAACAGTACAACTTTAAAAAATATGATTTGTGAAACCAACTTGATTGTTCTAGTCTACACCAAAAATAATTAGCCCGCTTTGACGTGTGAGGCAGGCAGAGCTGTTGCCAGTTGGCTGGCCATAATGCAATGACTGTCCTATGGTAATATACCGTGGTTCTCAGAAGCTCAGATGTGTCAGGCTGGAGTGCAGTGGCATGATCTTGGCTCACTGCAATCTCTGCCCCCTGGGTGCAAGTGATTCTCCTGCCTCAGCCTCCCGAGTAGCTGGGATTACAGGTGTGCGCCACCATGCCCATCTAATTTTTGTATTTTTAGTAGAAACAGGGTTTTGCCATGTTGACCAGGCTGGTCTGGAACTCCTGACCTCAGATGATCCACCTGCCTTGGCCTCCCAAAGTGCTGGGATTACAGGTGTGAGCAACCGTGCCTGGCCATGCTTCACCTTTTCTAAGAGCATTTTAAAGACATAGACTTGATTCTGAACTACTCAAGCATGGTATATTTTAATCTTTATGGTTTGTGGGCAGGTTTTTCTATATAAATCCATTTTCTTGGCTGGGCATGGTGGCACACGCCTATAATCCCAACACCTTAGGAGACTAGGGCAGGAGGATTGCCTGAAGCTAGGAATTAAAGACCAGCCTGGACAACATGGTGGGACTCTGTCTCCACAAAAAACAAACAAAACATTAAGCAAATTAGTTGGGCATGGTGGTGTGCACCTATAGTCCCAGCTATAATATGTACATGATTCATTGATCATGTTGCCTGTATCCTTAAATTGTCCCATCTTCAGGGCTATGTGATGCGGAGTTTCCAGAAAGCGACATGGGAGTCAGCATGTTCATTCACTCCTTCAAGTCAACAATGAGGCTGCCTTTGTAAGAAGTCCAGAAGGAGAGAGGGCAGCTTTGGGACCTAGGACTGTGGCAACCCTGACATTACCAGCACCGTCCTGGGCTTGCTTTCTTCCAGCTGTGTATGTAGCTCCATGGATGCTACAGCCACGCAGTCATGGCAGTCAAGAATAACAGCTACTGTGTACAGAGTGCTCACCCTGCGCCTAGGGGCTTCCACATTTTATTCTCCTAACAGCTCTCATTTTGCAGATGAGGAAGCAAGGTTGGAGAAGTTCAGTAGCTTGCCAAAGGTCACATGGCTCAGGACTAAGCGCAGAACCAGGACAGGGAGCCTCTGTCCTGGCGGCTCTCACCCAGTCTGGACCCAAAGGCAGGAAAGTGATAAGAAACTCTTGCTGGCAATGACTCAAGCAGGTGGTGGCCGCAGAGAGAGCTCTGTGGCTCTGAGTGGCTATGTGTGGGAACACCCAGACCTTCCTGTTCAAATGCACAAAAGCACATTTTTACTTCTCTGGTTTTTCAAATCCCTGATGCTGATCAGGAAAAAAATGACTTTACAGTTTAAGGACTAAGGACTGGCTAGCTATTGGAACGTCAACGTCACAGTTACACTTATTGAAATAGAATCACAGCTAAAAGAGGTCTCGCCAGTGTAATTTTTTAATTTTTATTTATTTATTTTTTTGAGACAGGGTCTCACATTCTGTCACCCAGGCTGAAGTGCAGTGGTACGATCTTGGCTCACTGCAACCTCCGCCTCCCAGGCTCAAGCGATTCTCCCACCTCAGCCTCCCCAGGAGCTAGAACTACAGGCACGAGCCACTACGCTTGGCTAATTTTTGTGTTTTTTGTAGAGACGGGGTTTCACCATGTTGCCCGGGCTGTTCTTTAATTCCTAGGCTCAAGTAATCCACCTGCCTCGGCCTCCCAAAGTGCTGGGGTTACAGGCATGAATCACTGAGCCTGACCAACAGATGTAATTTACTCCTTTCATTTTATAGACAAGAAAACCAAGTTTCAGGCTGATTTACTTAAATATTGCCAGCTATTGACAATAGACTAGAAATACTCAGATCTCTGAACTAGTGTGATAATCTTTATATTACTGTGATGCCTCTATTTTTCTATAAACTGGATTTTCAGCCAGCTTTTGTGCAGCGTAGCTTTCTGAGGAAGGATTTGTCCCTGTGGTTTGAATGGACGGAAGCTGGAAGGAAAAACCCCATCACTTACTATGCAAAAGTCCAGCTGGTCTCTGTGACAGCTGGAGGACACAGGGCCAGATCTATCTCA